TTTAGCTGGCTGAGGCAGGAGGCTCCCAAGTTGCAAGCCAGCCTGTGAGACTTTATCTCAAACAAAACTTTAAAAAAGATCTGGGGTGTAGCTCAGTGGGGCTTACCCAACACACTTGAGAACCTAGGTTCAATTCCTAGTCCCACCACAAAAACAGAAGAGTGATCACAGGCATCTCAGGGGAGGGCAGGGTGGAGCAGGCAGCATGTCCCAAAGACAGTGAACATCAGGTTACTGACAGAATGGTCCCATGTTCTGAGTAAACTCGGCTGGGCTGGCGGCCAGCTCCAAATGAGATCCACTCGAAATGGAGTCAGGGACCACCTACAGTGAGAAAAACAGTTCAAGCTTTTAAAGCCTGTCTGGTGTCTTAGCTCAAGCCTAAATGTAATTATTTTCATATCTCACCTACACTGATTTAGAGACTAACCCTACAGCAAAACCCAAGAAAGAGTTTAAGACCCACCCCAGGTGATACCCCAAACATTGGGAGTTCACAGTAAATTCTCTGGAGCAAAGAATAACGAGTTATATTTGCAAATTTTTTGCTTTTTCAAATTACTGTTTATATCTCTACTTACCACTTAATTGGAGCAAAATTTACAATTATTACAACCTCCCCATCTAAGGAGGTTAAATAGTAGAAAACCAACACACACTGGCTCATATTATTTAACAAACACCCGAACATGGGCTTCAGGCACATGATGCTGCCACTGTGGCATCCAACATCCAGATGTGATCAGCTCACTGCTCCACTTCGTCCAGCCTGGCTTCTCCACCAGCAATAGTTCAGCAGTCACAGCCTGGCCCTGCCAGGAGACTGCACAGCCAGCTTTTCTGGAGCCTCTAACAAAAGGGAGCCTTTCCATACAGTCTCCAGAGGACTCCCTATCAGGTTTCACCAGCCAGAAGAGGGGTCCTCATTCTTAAACCAACTACCAGCGGGGAAATGGGTTTCCCATGACCACGGTAGAATACAGGGAGTTGTGATTCTCAACCCTGATTGCATGTTGTTATGTTTTTACAGGGGAGGGGGTTTTTGAGCAGCTAAATTAAGATCCACTGAGTTAAACTAGTCAGAATTACCCCTCGTTGCCTCTCCCTGAATTGACTGAAAAAGGGGAAGCACCTGAATAAAACCTGATTAGTGAAAGGGTAGGGGGAATACAATATCTGGATCTATAGAAAAATGTACACAACCACTTCAGAAGTGTGTTCAATCCTCAAGACTCTCTGCATCTGTCTCATTTTAACAAAAAAAAAAAAGAAGAAGAAGAAGAAAAGAAAGAAAGAAAGAAAAGGAAAAGAAAGCAAGCTGAGGTACAAATTTACAAAGTGAAATTCTTTGTCTCCCAAGTTTCAATGTTTAATGTAAAGAAATTTCCCCCAAAGAACATTCTGCAAAACAGTAAAGACAGCCAAAGAGATTCTGTTAAACATTTTCCTAAAGCAAACAAAGCAAAAGTCATTAAAACCAAGGCTTAAAAATAATAGCAAAACTAAGCCTCCAAAGACCTAGTGCTAGTCCTGGCTCTACCACTGACAAAGCCCTCTGCATCCCTCCCATGTCTGCAGTCAGCAAGCTCACTTCAGAGGGCCCCTCCAGCCTCACACACGCACAGAGCCAAACTCCATACAGTTACTAAAGAGCATCTTCTACACCCATACCGGCGCTTCGTAACAGTAAGGACTGTTTAAAAACTTTTTTCCTACAGAAGAATATCTATTTCCTCTAGAAGCCTAATGTAAAATTTATGAGAAAAGCACATATGGCTTATTGCTGTTTCCGGCAAATACGAATTATATATTTGTATGAATCATAAACACCTAAAATTACATAGACTTTTGTAAGCCATGAAAGGCTTACCAAGCTTAAATGGCACATAAAGAGGACACTGGTTATTCTAGGAAAGCAGTGACAATCGGAAACAAGAACTAAAAAGCCATTTCAACAAAGAGTCCATTGAATTGAGTACATCTCCAAATCTACCATAACAGTCAATGACCCTCCTCTCCGGAGCTCTGCCCACCCTCGCTGTTATCTCCAAAAAACACTCTACACACTAATGTCCAATACTGTGTCTCCTCCGACTCTTCTCCATTCTGTCAGGTTTCTGCTGAAAAACCTTCCATATTCTCCAAGGGATAAAGGCCACACTCCCAGCCTTGTTTTCCTGGCCCTTCACAATCCGAAATCAACCTCCCCATTCACCTCGTCTACTCCCTGAAACACAATCTCTCTTTTTCAGCCAAACTGGTCGTCCTGTTCCTCCAACACGACACATGTTCTGGTTTCTTCTCAGCTATTTCCAGTCTTACAATGCTCCATTTCTTACTTAAAACACCACTGAGTTCTAGAAGGCCCAGCAAACCTCCTCCACCCTACACTCTTGTCCCAGGCAACATTAGAATTTTTGTCACTTAACCTTTTAACAAACACGCCTGCATTTCCTTTTTAAGAATTTAGCATAGTGTACAAGGCTCTAAAATGTTCCTTAGCTTGAAGTGACTTCAATTACAGAAATAAACTCAAGGGCAAGGGCCTCTACCTTATTACTTCTTTGTCATTATCTCAATCACAGCATTTAACAAATTGTAGGTGCTGAATATTTGCTGATTGCTAAATAATTGAACTCAGCAGTAAGTAAGTCTTCAGGTCTTACCGGCTTCCACCTTCTTTAAATATTTATGGAAGGTATCAACGCTCTCTCAAGAAGTTCCAATTACATAAATCCAAGGAGTATTTCGTACATGTGGAAGGGCAGGCTCTTACAGAGCAATTAGAAAACGATGTAAGAAAAAATTCTGTGAATACACAGAAAGCCATTTTTTCAAAAATAAAAAGTGTAAAACATCTGGAAATACAAACAATCTGACCTACTTAGTTGTTATTCTTTCCGCAGTTCCTCCCTCTAATGGTCTTCCCAACTCTGGACCCCATGTTCTATATTAAGGCTCAAATAAGTAAATGGCCTAGACCCTGCTGGCAAATCCTTTAACTCTCAATGATACAACCAGCTACTGCCCTCATGCCAACAGTTTGCCACCACTGGCCTACCATGAAATTTCAAATGGCCTCATCAAGCTATTGACAAATGCTGTGGAAGCTTAGTAATATTTCCAAGAGGTACAGCAGGAGAAACTGAACACAAAGAATTACACTACACAACCTGCCCAATTTGCATGTGGCCAGGCCCTAACAACTGGAAAGGAATCACACACTTCAATCTACTGACTTAAACCCACCACATTTAACCTCAGGAATTAGAAGTAAACTTTATGAAGCAAGTGGAGAAAAGCCAGGGTCTTCTCGATTTGCCAAAAGCATGTGAGCTAAAGCTTTGTTTCTGTCAGCGTGAAGAATGTAAATTAATAGAGCAAAACAAAATACCTTGATTGCTCTCTTAAGCAGTATCATCAACTAGCTTCTTTGGGTAAAGGACAAGAATCCAGAGTAAGACAGGAATTCACAAATTCCAGAAAGTCTATATTGCCAGAAAGACGGCTAACAGCTGCCCCCTATCCCAGATGCCCTGGCTGCTGCTGGACTAAGAGGCGCACTTCCTGCGGGCAGAAAACCTAATGTGCGGTCACATAAATAGTTATCTACCAGTGACCAAACTGGCTTTGCCACAGCCTCTCTCTTACAGCTCCCCAACCCCAGGGAGAACTGCTACATCCAGTGAGAAGGCACACTCAACCCACCAGTACCCAAGAGCCCTAAAATGTGTTTCTGTCTCGCTAGGCTCACCCCTCTTATCTCTCACTCGCCCACATACCAGGCCTCTAGGTCCTGAAGGCGCGCCATCCACCCAATCGCTTGCTCAAAACAAAGTATTCCCAATCCTGATCTTGCAACATCAAAGAGGCCGGAGATGCCAAAGGAACCTTGGAGATCATCCAGAGAAGTTGAGTGACTTGCTTTCCAAATTATAGGGATGGTGCACTAAATTCTTCCCATTAAAATGTATTTCAACTCATTCATTAAGTATTAACCGGGCCAGGCGCTCTGTAGGCAGATGAGACTGGGTGGCATGCACTGTAACCCTCCTTCCTACACATGGCGAGGGGGAACGTGAGTCAGGGTATTTTTCTCAGAAGTGAGGGCCACAAAATATTGTACAGGATGCAAACTTGCAAGGCTGGGAATTACTGAACCATGAACCTATGTAAGTCATAGAGACGGTACCACCATAGCCTGCAGGGTGCTATGGTGCTGAGCAATCTTTTAAAGACAAAAGGGGGACTCAGCCGACATGGAAGGGGTCCAGGGCGTGGCTGAGCTATCCTGCTCGCTGGAGCCTACCCCTGGCCCTGTGTAGCAGCGCCAGGGAAATCCAGCCCAGGTCTCTCCCAGAGCCCTCTGGACTCCTCTAACCTACACTACCTCTCCCTCTTCCTTCTGACTCTTCCAAAACAGAGGTCAAGAGAGGAAGGCATCGCGCAGGACCAGGGCCGAATTCTTTCTCTGCAGGCAGTGACCCTCTCGGCCCCCGACCTTTGAACCTTCCCGGCACTGGAGGAGGGAAGGAATGTGCAGAGCGCGCACTAAGCCAGGAGGCCTGGGAGAGTGAGCCGGCCCGGACGATCAGGTCAGGGGAGATCACAACCACTGACACAGATAAGGCGCTAAAGGAGCCCTGAAGCGTTCGACAGCATTGAATTTCAAGAAAGAAAAAACAAAACAAAAACCACCTAAGAAAGTTATTTTGAGAGGTTTCGAGCCAAAACTACACAAATTGACGCCTCTGCCTGCAAGACACGGAGCAGCCCCGGTGCGCGACCCCGAGCCCAGGCGGGAGGGCCCCGTCGGTCCCGCGGGGGTGAGCGGGCACCGCGCCAGGCGGGCCTGCGGGCTCCTCGCTCCGCGCCACGGAGGGGCCTGGGCGGAAGGAAGGGGGCCTCGGTCCCGCCGCCGGGGACGTATGGCCCCGGCCCCTCTGAAGCCGACCTCCGGCTGCGAGGGCCTCAGCTGTCGGTGCCGGGTCCTCACTTACTTTTGGTAGCAGCGATGAGGTTCTTCCCGTCTTTAATGAGCTCTTTGATGAACTTGTTGGTCCTCTCGAGCTCCGCTTCGTGGGCACGGATCCGCTCCCGGAACCACGGGCTGTCCAGGTAGCAGTCGCTGAACTCCAGGGGCTGCAGCCCCATGACGGCGGCGATCGGCGCGTTCAGCCCAGCCCGACGCGGGCTCGCGGCGGCGGCCAGGTGCGAGGTGCGAGGTGCAGGGTGCCGGCGCGGGCTGGAGGCCCGGAGGCGCTAGCAGCGCGGGGCGCGCGGCGCGCACATCCCCGCCGGGCCGGCGGCTGCAGCGAGCGATCCGCGCGGCGCCCGAAACCAGCCAAGCCACGCCGCCGCCGCCCAGCCCGGGCGCTCGGACTCGCCCCGCGCTCCTCTCCGCCGCCGGTCCCGCTCACCCTTCTCTTCCCTTTCTTTCCCTTCCCTTCCCCGGACGCCTCTTCCTTCTCTTCCCCACGCGCAGTCGCCCCTCCTCTTCCTTCCGAGGCGTCCTAGCTCTAGAATTGCGTCCCTCTGCTCTCCTCCACCCCCGGGCGCCTGCCCCTCCCTTCTCCTCGGCTCCCGGCTGCGGGGTGACTCACCGGCGGCTCCCCAAGCAGGGAACCCGACCGGACGAGGAAGGAGAGCAGTCCTCGATCCGCGCAGCTGAACCACAAAACTCGGGCGCGCGCGGGCTGCCTGCCACGCGTGGATCTCCGAGTCCAGACGTGGCCCAACCTCCCCGCGCTCCCAGGGTACAGTCAGCGCGCCTGCGGCTCCCCAGAGGCCCTCAGTCTCTCTGCTCATACACACGGTCCTAAGGCTGGGGTGGCCGAGCCAGGGAAACCTTGTTTCTGCTGTGTTCCCAGTGCAGTGGCCTTAAGGAGGGAAGGCGAGCTTTATTATGCTAAAAATAACCAGTTTTTTAAAAAAACAAAAAACACCAGGATAGGCGTGGCTTTCACCAGGTGGAGGTGATATGCAATAGAGAAGCCTTCCTAGCCCCAGCGTTCTGAAACGCAGCAGTGGAAAGTTAAGATATTTTGAAGTACTGAAATGTGTGCCTAAAAGGAACATTCACTCATCGAGGTGACGCTGCATAATAGCAGCTGAAGTTATTAAGCAATTATTACGCATCGGCCACGTACATGCCTACAACTCCAGCTCTAGGAGCAAGGAGGCTGAGGCAGAAGGATCACAAATTTGAGCCAAGTGTAGGCAATTTTGTGATTTAGCTAGACCTGGGAATGTAAGTCTGCAAAGGCCCTGAGTTCAAATCCCCGGTACAGCTATATAGTGTATGTATGATCTTATACATAATAATTTATGTATAAAATTACCAGTATTGTGTAGGCCCACAAGGAGAACTGCACACATTTTTCACAAAGTCACAACATAGGTGTACATATATCAGTTGACTAATAATGTTAGTATTACCAAGAAACTTCAAAGTAATTCTTTAAAACATTTAGACTCTGAGGGGGTAATTAAAAGTCTGTCTGGACAAGGAGCAGTAGGAGGGTAAGAATAAGTTAAATAAGCCTCCTACTCAATCAACTCTTCTGTTGCAAAACAGCAGGGAGTGGCCTCACCCAAATAAACACTAAGGTCCATCCTGGGCTTCAGCATGGGTTACAAGTAACTTCCATTCCTTGAAGCTTCAGTTTCTACCACAATCAGCAGAGAATTGGCCTCTAGAGAGGAAAAAAGAATAAAAGAGGCAGATAAGAGGAAAAGCTACTCAAGAACAGAAGAGGTGTAAACAAACAGGAAAGGCTGACCTTTGAGGACCTCAAAGTCCTCAGTTCTCTGGTCAAAGGGGCTGGGGCAAAAGGGGCTGCCTGAGGGGTCAAACTCAGAGGTCCTACCTGCCTGGCAGTTCCAGCAGCTTAGAGATGTCCCTGAGAGAAATACACACACACACACACAACTTGTACAGAAATGTTCATAGTGTTCATTGATAGCCAGAAGGGATGCCAGCCCAAACACCTTTTGGCTGTTGAATGTATGAACAAAATGTAGGTATATGCAAATAATGGAATTTTTTTTTCCAGTTCTGGGGGATCCAGAGATACATCCCCATCCCTTTTTATTTTGAGACAGGATTTCACTAAGTCACAAAGTAGCCCAGGTGGGCTGAAGTAGCCTTGCAGACTCCCGGGATCACAAACCTGTCCCACCACAAGGATGGAATATTAATCCACACAGGAAAAGGCATGCAGTACTGATCCATGCTATCACACAGTGAACCACGAACACATTAAGCTAAGAGAAAGAAGCCAGTCGCAAAAGCCACTGATAATATTATTCATTCATGTGAAACCTCCAGAGCAGAGAACTCTGCATACAGGAAGTAGACCAGTGTTTTCATAGGGTAGGGGGACGTAGAAGGGATTTCTTTTGCAGAGGGTAGTGAAAATATTTTAAACTTATAGTCTGCTAATGGTTGCACAACTCTGCAAGACACTGCATTATAAACTTTTAATATATAATATAAAGACACTGTATTAAAAACTTTTAATGAGTAGATGTTTTTGGTATGTGAAATATATCTCAATAAGGAGGGTTTTTTTTTCCCTTTTCATTTTAAAAAACAAGCTGCTCCAAGCAACTGCCTGTCCTTCCTTACCATTTTCCACTCCCAGACATTAAAACTGATTTACTAACAGTTGTCCTGCTCTCTGTGCATTGGAGACAGGGACATCCCAGCTGTCTTGATTGAGATGATCTGAACAAAGGGATCCGTAAAATGCCTGCGGAAAGTTATGAGGATGAGGTGAAACAGAGGAGGAAGGCGGAGAGGGGAGAACTGACTGGAGAGAGGGAGGAGGAGAGGAGATAAATATAGCCCTTCCCTGTGGGAGGGGTCTGTGGGTAAGGGAGCCCTTCCGTCACAGCCTGACCCTGAGGAATACCTCCAGGAATGCAACCACAAAAGCAGATGTTACCAGGTTCCCAGTTTCACCTGCAGTTCATTAATATGTGTCACCCTACGGTTCATGTGAGGCGCTGCGCTGGGTGCTAGTGATGCAGTAACACCCAGGGCAGTGTCTGTCCTCCCTGGTCTTAAGAGGGAGAGCTGTATTCAAAAATCAAGCATACGAACATGCCCAGCTGAGAGGTAAAGTGCCAGGGCTGAGGTGTGGCTCAATGGGAGAGTACTTGCCTAGCATATATGAGGCCGTGCGTTCCATCCTCAACAAGGCCAAAAGCAAACACAAATAGAAAACAAATGAAAATACCATCAAGTTTGAGAGAAGAGGTCTGTGAGAGGTTATAATTGCAGATTGGCGGTGGGGTCCAGGAAGGCCTTTTAAAAGAAGTGTCATTGAATCAATGTCCAGAAGAATCAATAGGAGCGCACAGTGCCGCAGGCCTGTAATCCCAGCATTTGGGAGGCAGGAGGATCACTGCAAGTTTGAGGCCAGCCTGGGCTACATGATGAGTTCAAGGCCAGCCTGAACTGCTCAATGAAACCTTGTCTCAAAAAAGACCAAAAAAAAGAAAAAAAATCAGTGAGAATTAAGCATTACATAGGGAATCAGATAGATCAGTCTGTGCCCACCCCCAGGTGTTACCTTCTAGGGACTAAGGCTGGTTCCTGACAGCTGTGAGGGGGGGGGGGTGGTCCAGCAGGGCCAAGCTGTTCACACAGAGCCTCCCCAACTGCATTTAGGACTATGGGTTGTACTCAGATACTACTGGAGGCCTTGGGCAAGCTTGTAATCACAGTATGTCAGCAGCCATGCAGGGAATGGGGATCCAGTCCGAAGACTGAGTTGTCTGGGTGACTTACGCCTTCAAGGTGACACTGAAGACAGAATAGAAATAAAATTAATTTTAGAGGGAGTTCCCAGGACGGGACAGGAGCCTGCATTTTGGAAATGGGGTGGAAGATATGAAAGATGGCCTCACAGGCTCCCCACACTGTAGGGCAGGCAGATGGTAAGTCATGAAGTAAAGGAACACGAGATCAAAACCAGCATGCAGGTAGTGGTAACTGGGGTGGGCAGTTACACAGCCAGACTTGTTGAGTTTGAAGCGCCTGGGAGACACTGGGGTACATATATTAGGCAGGCATTCACCCCCAAAATGCCCTCTCTATCCTTAGCTCAGATCCTGAGAAAGTTAAAGATGGAGTCCATGCGAGCTGGTCAAATTTCAGTCCAGGCAAAGTAGAGCTTGACTCAGAGGAAACTCTCTTCTGTAGGTTCCACTGCACAGAGAGTGCCTTGCCCAGGTGAGTCCCAAAGTCGCCAGCTATGAAGTCCAGCCTGCCTTCTTCTGAGTCTTTGGAATGGTTCAGGCTGCCAGTTGACTGAACATTCAGACACACTATAACAAAGAATCGAAATTCCAGTAATAAGAGCCTAAGATACCTCTTGCTAGCTCTCCCTTCGCTGTCCTCTCACATACGCACAAGAGGTCCAGCAGTCAGCAGTGCACGTGATCCTGCAGGGAAGGAGTGCCTTGCACGCTCCAGTGGCCTCACAGTACCAGGCGGTGGCCTGAGCGCCCTCTAGGCAGAGAGGAGGGAAAATGTAAAAGGGCCACTCCTTCCCAAGCATCTCCTACCACATTTCTGCTCTTTTATCTCTTTGCCCAGAACTCAGTCAGAGGGCCACACCTTTCCGCAAACAAAGATGGAAAATGTGGTATTTTATCAGGCGCTGTCCACTGCCACCCTACATGAAATCTGAATTTTCCCACAAAGGGAAAACAGGTTTTGAGCAACCACCTGCAGTTTGTGCTGCAGGCTGACACCTTTATGAGCAAGGTGTATAGATTACAGTCATGGCAAAACACAGATGCCATAATTTGAATGACAAGAAATAAAATATCTTTAGATGTCTTCCAAACTGGATGTGCGTGGCTGTATTCTCTCACCAATGTTAAAGACAAACAACAAAGAAAAGAATATGCTAACATGCTGCATCAATGAACAATTGAACTATGTCACTGAATACCTTACTGAATACCTCAGCAGAGGGGTGGGTCTGGCTTCTGAAGCCCTTATCGATACTCCAGCTCTCACCCTCTGCAATTCTCTCAGGTCAGTCCACCTTGCCCTGCACACTGACTTTAACCTCCAGAAAGCATGCTTCCTGTGCACTAAGCAGATTCAACATGTCCAGGCTCCCTAAAAAAATACCTCTTCCTAAGTAAGCACAACAGTGCATACCTGTTAGCCCAGCTTCTTGGGAAGATTGCATGTTCTAGGCCAGCCTGGGCAAGTTGGCAAGACCTTGTCTCAAAGGAGCTCGGGATTATTTAGCTCGGTGGGGGAGCTCATGGACAGACCCCTGGGGTCTAACCCCAGTACAGAAAAAGAAAAAATAACAGCAACAGCAACAAACCTTCCGGATCTAGAAAGACACTCCCCTATCACAGGTACTTCAGCTGTCATCAAACCAGGTGAGGACACTGCCATCCCTGCAGGTCTGTCACTCAGCTGTTATAGTTAAGCCAAGAGAAGACCAAGTAGCCAAGCCACACTGAGGCTGCCATTTGAGCAGGGGATGCTTAATCCAAGGTACCAGGAAGCCACACAAATGAGCTTG